GGTTTTGTGTTACTCATCTCCATCATTACACCTTCCCAATTCAGCAACTCGGTGAATTAGAGGAATTAACCTGAACGCATTTAGCTGTAACCCTGTAGCCTACATAGCAGACTTGGATTGCTTGGCTTTAAGCACAAACAATATGTTTTCCCAGAGCCGTAAATAGGAACCGGGCAGCCACGCTGATGATTTAAATGCTCTATCAACGGGGAGAGTAGACAGCAAGTCTGATGCCCTTCTCAAGACATTAAGGTTAAGAAAATCCAAAACAAGCGTATTAGGCTGGAGAACTCATGAGGCAAATCATCTGCGCAGATGTGGACGTTTTTTGTAGAAATATTTGCAGGATGAATGTATATTTCTATAGTGTCTTCCCCCTCCACCTCCCAAAGAACCCAGGGCACTCCGAACACAATAAAACTGTTCTTCACCATATTTAAAGCTCTATGGCAAAACAGTAGCTCATGCTCTTGCAGCGATTTTCTGCTATTTCAGACTCAATTTTATACTGCTAGTTACACACGTCTTAAAGATCTCCTCTCCCTGCAGCACACACAACCCATTACAGCATTTTGTTTATAAACAGGACTAACCAGAGCCAATCTCTCACAGTCTTACATTACATATAATTAAATGCTCTATAATTTAACTATAGTCACGCAAGTGACACGCAGTACCACCTACGTTCCCTTGGACGTGGGCCAGGCGGCTTCCCTCCCACGTCACGCTGCATCTATGCTGGAAGTAAATATTCAAGGGTAAAACCAGGGAAAAATACTTGCATCCTTAGTCCCCAGGAGGGACCCTGGGCCAGTAGCAATAAGGTATAGGATGAACGGTACCATATAGCGCTATCTAGACGGAAAGATTTGACTTTCGTATCAGCTAGCAAGAAGTTCACCTATTTTCTTCCCTCTTAGTAGTCAACTTTCCCTTGGATCTCAGCAAAACGGCGCAGCCCGTGAAGACATACCTTACCATATTAGGCAATCTGAGTCCAGAAAGTAGAGGACTCGGAGCCTTCCTTAGCTTAAAAAGACAGTCCCCACGCATGTCCGCAGCCTGCCCAGCACCACGCTTCGCTGCTGCATCAGGGCAATAAAACAGCGGGGTCCGGGGCAGCGGCTAGGACTCCTAGGGCTCCCAACACACGCAGCCTGGCTACGGCAGGCAAGTCACAAAAGGCTAACGAAAGCTATTTCTGATCTTTTAGCTGTTTATCAAATCCCTCTTTTAAAAGAGGTAAACAGCACGATTACAAAAGCTAAATTGGAAGTCTCTGTGGAAGATAAAATGCCACTAAAAGCAAAAATATAGGTGAGAAACAGAACATACCAAATCAGGACTCCCAAGTCATAACTCTGAAACAGCTATGACATGAAGACAGTTAGTTTGCATAAGGAATTTTCCAGTTCATTGGTCTTCCCTTAGGATTCATGGAATCAAGCTTAGAAATTCAGTCCTTCTAAGACAGAGATTTAGTTTTTGTTAGTATCCGGCTGTATCTGGTGATTTCATGTTAATAGTACAATTAGGCACAACATGTAATAGTTACAAAACAGAGTGGGCTTGAATAGTGTTTTGTAGAATTTAAAATACTCGTGTTTTCATAAATCAAAGTACAGGGAGACAAGGATGGAGCCTATTTAATGCACTTACTGTGGCCCTAATCCATAATCCTATGTTTCAGTGTTATTCTTGCATAAAAGTTAATTCCATTAATGTGTCTGGGTTTTATACCGCGCTATACAGACTGTCCTAGAAGAAGTTCATGAGAACAGATGTTTTCCATGACACTTTTACTGCTCAGAAATTGTTGCCTTACCACCATGACACTCGGTGCGTTCCCCTTGTATCTAAAGCTTTCCCTTGCTGAACTATCTAACGCCCGGGTGAGGCACACTCGCCATGCCACTAAAGAGAAAGGCAAGGGGATAAAATGCTTTAAATAATTACAAACGTTTTTCTATTTCTGTTATGTATGGTATGTCATTTAAAACACACTGTTCTTCCAAATTTGTTCCCAGTTTCTCCTGCTGCGTAACAGCGATGGCAGAAGTCAGGTGTAAGTCAAAGCCAGAAGAGCCAGGGATAAGGAAAACCCTCTCCAAAATGTAACATCGCATCATTCTCTTTGGTCTTCACCCTGATCCTTCAAATGCTGTGCCCTGAACTAGAGCCACCGATCTGTCTGCCCTGACTGTGCTGTGCTTGTACTCACTGGCCCCACCACGAGTGAATTCTCGCTGATGGTTCACAGCCGCTGCCTTGCAGGGAGCAGGAACGGCTTCCCAGTGCCAGCCTGCCCACGTGGCTCACACCGCCACTAACAACGGCATCTTTCGGACTCTCGCACTTTTTACATTCTGAAAAACAGAGACTAGACTGTGGCCAAACTTTTTTTCCCCCCACCTCTGGTTTGAGCCCAGGTTTCCCCAGACCGAACAAAGGCTCCTCTACATACCCTTCTCCCCAGCCCCCCCCTGCCCACGTGGCTCCCCCCGCCACTAACAACGGCATCTTTCGGACTCTCGCAATTTTTAATTTCTGAAAAACAGAGACTAGACTGTGGCCAAACTTTTTTTCCCCCCACCTCTGGTTTGAGCCCAGGTTTCCCCAGACCGAACAAAGGCTCCTCTACATACCCTTCCCAGTGGAACCACACTCTCCTAAAGCTGCTTCCCCAGAGGCTTTTTCCAGCTGAAGTCCTTGTGCCCTTGAACATTTATTCCACAATAAAACTTTTTGTCTGCTCTTCCAACTTTCCACAATGCATCCAAGCAGTCTGCATCACAGGGCGAAAGGCGGGGTTGGTAGCAAACCATATGAAGGTTGCCTGACACATCCTATTAGGAGACCGCTCGCAGTTGCCTAGAACTCAGCCAAAGCGTCTGGGCTGGTTTCCCACGCTGGTACTCCTAAGTTTCAGCCAAAATAATTCCTCCACTTCTGAGAATCAGAACAACATGTATTTGCTCCTTTTTCAACAACTGCATCTACCTTTCCTTTTCTAAACTCCAGCGCTGCATAGTTTGGAGGATGGAATTCGAGTCGGGCCTTTTTTGGCTCCCATGAAAATCTTCCTAATATCAGCCAAGATATAAACACTGGAGGAAAAAAATAACTGCTCGGATAAAATCAGGAGAGTCTTTGGGGGTCTGCAACTAAAACGGGACACCTTGGTGTATTCACATTCACAACTCTGATGGTGGCACCTCCCATTCTAATGATTATTATTATTATTGATGAATTAATGATGATTAATTGTACTTTCTGCTTGATACTAGCAAGTAGCTGCTCCATGGCTCTTGCCAAACCAATGGCCAGTTAGCAGGACAAACCTCTCTGATTTGGATGTAAAATAAACTGGGGAAGAGTGATCAAGTGACGTGCCGCAGGAGAGTAAAGAAAATGAACTGGAAACTAGCTAAAAGCAAAAGGACTGGGAGAATGGGAAAAACAGCACCATCGGAGCGGAAGGAGAGTCGAAACCAGGGTCTAACGTACGTGAGGTGTGTAAGAAAACGGGAACGTTGCTGTAAAGCATGTGGGCAACGGGGCCAAGGGAACCGAAGGGGAGTTGCTCTGCTCTTAGATGGGAACCCACAAGAAAATCGTGGGAAGACAAAAGGATTCCTTGCTATTAACTTGGGGAAAACCAGCATCATTAATTGCAAGAGACTCGGGGACCCTGAATTTTTGGGCAGGAACATATGGCGGGTTCTTCGGAAGTGCAGTTTACCCATTTACAAGAGCAGCGAGGACTGTGCTTAATTCAGCAATTTTAGGACTAGACTCTAGGAAGCCTCCAAACCTGCAGCCTCAGATACTCCGATACTCTTTTGTCTTAATTTAGCTAATCTGGGACAATTTCCCAGAAGAACAAGACATTCCCAGCGAGTCCAAAACACGACTGCTGGAAACAAGGTGTCCCTATTATTATTACTTTTTACACATTACAAAATACCCCTCCTTCAGTTTTACTGTGAGATGGCAGAAATGTCAAAACAATTTTGAGGACGATAAATCTTTCATGCAGTGTAAGTGGAAGATTTAACGAAGCCGCGTACCGCTACGAACAGAAACTCGTGGGGGAAGAGCTGGGCTACGTGATGCAGGTGGTGCTTCCGTGGGAAGGAATATCCCACGTTTCACGTTGCAGAGTAAGCACTGGGAAAGCCAAGGCTGGCACTGAAAGCTAAGCACACGCTAAGAGCCATCCCAGCACCACGCGAGTCTCTGGTCCCCACAAGGCTCACCGTGACTTGGCCCCATTTTGGCCAAGTATTGCAAAAAGAAGAAGAAAAACACACTATGAAGAGCATTACTGAAAATTTTCAGCAAAGAACCAGTTAACTTTTCAATAAAACGTTGCTTCAATTGCTCTACTGAATTGCAAAGTATGTAGAAAGACAACCGTAAATTCAACATTTTCTGGCAAAGACTGAACGTCACACAAGCAGGCTGACCCCTAAGCAACCTTAAATTTGCGTTTTTTCCCAGATCTTGCGCGTCATGCTTTAATAATTTGGAAACGTATTTAGCTTTAACATTGTCAGAGTAAGTCATGTTGTCAGGCTCAAATGTGTTTTAGACAAAGACAGACAAAACCAAAAGAAACCGAGGCAATTTGGAAGGGCTCAATAATTATTATAAAAGAAAAGAAAGTGCCTCGAAGGATAACGAGACTATTGCAAGAACAGGGACAATGAACAACCTCTGATGTCTTGCTGGCCAAGACAATTTCCCGCAAGAAAACAAATCCATGAGGAGACAAGAGCGCAGATTTTAGAAATACAAAACATACTGTCCGAAATAACAGCGTCAGGGTGATTCTGAGACACAAGGTCATGCGCCTTCCTCGGGACACCTGACAGCCAGGCTCCCCAGCCATGGCAGCTTCTGACAGCGCTCTCAGTAAGGCACTCCCCCCGCTTCTGCTCCAGTCCCTCCAGCTCTGAGAGCTGCCTATGCAGCTCACGAAGAGCCAACTTTTGAACTTAGGCCAGTCTGTAGATATTCTTTATCTTTCAGACGAGAAATCAGTAAGCAATTTGCTACTCAGGACTACCTCCCAGTTCGTACTCAGCTCCTGAGCAGAGCCTGAAGCTCTCGTATAAACAAGAGTAAAGTCATAGAAGACTTCTTGCCACCAACGCTCAAGAGGGAAACACCAACTATTTAGACATATGTTTTCACTTACCCGAGTTTCCTTCACTTCCTCATTTCCATCAACTTCATCATCATCCTAGGATGAAAAGCAAACAACATAATTAGGCAGCCTTGGAGACAACAACATTTTATCACAGGAAGAGAAAATGTATTGCTTATGATTTGATGTTAAAGCTAAGAACACTTCTGCCAAAAGAAATGCCTGTCTAGATACTTTTGGCTGATTATCAGATCAGGTTTGGTTACCTAATGGCCATTTAGAAGATCTTGGTACTGGGGACAGAATTACTCTCTTGAGACAGCTACTGTAATCCGAATGCTCCCGAAGAGTCAGTAGGAGAATTATTTCCTTAATATACTTAGGGAACAAAGCTGACGGTTAGGAGGACTGCATGTCTGAAATGCTGACATGATATTGCCTTTCAAAGAATATCCTCCACTTCCAATAGACTCCAGGAGGAAAGACTAGTCACGCCATCCAGAGGGACCTGGCTCCAGAAGTGGGCCCATGTGAACCTCATGAGGTTCAACAAGGCCAAGTGCAAGGTCCTGCACCTGGGTTGGGGCAACCCCCAGTATCCACACAGGCTGGGGGATGAAGGGATGGAGGGCAGCCCTGCTGAGAAGGCCTTGGGGGTGCTGGTGCGTGAAAAACTGGACATGAGCCGGCAATGTGTGCTCACAGCCCAGAAAACCAACCGTCTCCTGGGCTGCATCCCCCGCAGCGTGGGCAGCGGGGCGAGGGAGGGGATTCTGCCCCTCTGCTCCGCTCTGGGGAGACCCCCCTGGAGCCCTGCGTCCAGCTCGGGGGTCCTCAGCACGGGAAGGACATGGAGCTGTTGGAGCGGGGCCAGAGGAGGCCACAAAAATGATCCGAGGGCTGGAGCACCTCTGCTGTGAGGACAGGCTGAGAGAGCTGGGGGTGTTCAGCCCGGAGAGGAGAAGGCTGCGGGGAGACCTGATTGCGGCCTTTCAGTACTTAAAGGGGGCTTGTAAGAAAGATGGGGACAGACTTTTTAGCAGGGCCTGTAGCGATAGGACAAGGGGGAATGGTTTTAAACTAAAAGAAGGTAGATTCGGACTAGATGTAAGGAAGAAATTTTTAGGATGAGGGTGGTGAAACACTGGCAGGGGGTGGCCCGAGCGGGGTGGTGAAACACTGGCTGGCAGGGGCAGAGCGGTGGCCGATGCCCCGTCCCTGGAAACATCCAAGGCCAGGCTGGACGGGGCTGTGAGCAACCTGACCTGGTTGGAGATGTCCCTGCCCATGGCAGGGGGGATGGACTGGATGGCCTTCAAAGGTCCCTTCCATCCCAAACTATTCTGATTCTATCCCAGATAGCTTGCACTTACGCAGCCTTTCTGTAACTCACTGCCTCTTTGTAACAGCTCCAGGATTTCATGGAGCAACGGTAAACTACCATGGCAGCACATCCGACTCCGTATCGAACTCAAGGCATTTCAGAAGTTGTAGCTGCGGTTTCGTATAGAGACAACGGGGAAATGAACTAAAACTCTGAGAAGTGATTTGCCTTCTGCTCTGAAGCTAGTAACATTGCTACAATGACCCAGTAGACAACTGGGCAAGCTGTAAAGCATTTAACTAAAAAAACAATAAACAAAAAAAAAATCACATTTGGCATGCAAGTGAAAAAATGCAAGAATCATTTGAAAATAATAAAAAGGGGGAGTTTGCAGCAAGTCTTTTAACAGAAATGCTGAGGTTTCCAGCAGGGCCTTGTTCAACTTGTCTGTAACTCCAAATATTCAACATATCTACTGTTGCCACAGGGAAGACCACTGGGGTTTTTTTCATGGTATTGTGCAGGAAGCCTCTACCCCAGGGTGCACGAGGAAGGCTGTACGTCCATAGCTTGACCACAACTGATGCAGACCTCTTAACCACGATTTCATAATACTTATTCTCCTGCT